TGGCACTTTGTGTCACCGAGTGTTTATCGCTCGGTGTAATGTCCTGGTGGGCAAAACGTCAATCTCTTTATTATATTCTGCAGCCTATAAGGCACTCAATGTGAAAATTTCAAATATTTTAGTCAGCCTGTAAAATGACTGCGTATTCAAAGAAATAATTGGAAAACAAATCACCGGTAGATTATCAATAAAATTTTCGATTTACAATTACTGCTTGAACACAAATCTGTAACAAACCAATGGATCGGCCAGGATTACATACTTAGGTTGCCTGTCTGATTCGGCTAGACCTGTTATAGGCAAAGGCAAAGGGATGTTTAAATATCAAGCCTTGACCGTCAGGCTAAAATGTCCTCGTGAGGCATGCTGGGTAAATAGTACTGGTCAAATATTTGTCATTTGTCTTCATGTGTAATGTTGTCAATATCATTGCACTTCCCGTGCTTCCCGGAACACTGCCTAACCAACTGTGAACCCTGGGAGCTAAGCACTCTAGGAGCTAAGAACTCTGGGTTCCCCAACTGAAGACAGTTTCAAATGCACAGTAACACATGAAGGATTCTTATTCTGTAGGTTAAGGTCCAATTACACGCCCAGTGGCATATGGGAACTTTGAGGCCGAACTCGTATTTTCGTAGACCAAACAGCCCGCGATAAGAAATGTCAACATAGGTGACGAGGAAGGTGTGATTGTGTTTGGGAGTTTGTTATATCTCGGCGATTCCCTCAGTTTATATGCGCAAAACAATTCAACAAATAGCTTAAAATGATAAATAATACCAACAAAAATCACAATGATACATTGCAACAATATCAGCCGTCCAGCAGCTGTACACATTAAACATTAACAACACATTTGCTGAGGAACTGGGAGATACTTGCAAATAGTTAGGTAGTATTTTCAGTCTCACAACAGATTTCGGTTTCTCATTCTTTGTGTGATCAGTGTAAGTTAAAAGTTTGTAGTTAGAATACAACAATACATAGGATTTCCTCTTCTTATTCTTCTTCTTCTGCTTCTTTATTCTTCAATCAAAGGGAGAGTATCACTACTATTGAGGCCTTTCTCTCACTACTACAACATGCATATTAAAAGCCCCCCCCCCCCCCCATATATATATATATATATAATTAGGAAAGTTGTTTTTGTTATTATTATGCACTTAAACAAAGCTCAAACCTTGAATCAGAGAAAATGGTAAGGACCTAAACCTATAACTCCCAATTTGTCTCATTTGGTTCCATATTTCTACTATTTAATCCACTGAGACTCGAATACTTTTACTCTAAACTGCACACACTCTGAGTCAGAAAGTGTTGAGAAACATTTATTGAGTTGTTTTAACAGTTTGCAAGAATCCTTCAGTTTGTGTTAAAATTTCTTTCAAAGAAAAATATGATGGTGAATTACTGTACAGCGATATACTATAAAGTTAATGGTAATCCAAAAACGATGGAATGTAATAAGTATTTTCAAGATCAATGACCACACAAAATATGGTCCAAGTAATGTCACAATGATTCATCCTGTGTGTGTCTTCCTACCGGATCACCGCCTCTTGAAGGTTGAGAGTCACACAGTGGATGACAACCCAGCAGGGTGATCCCCATATATCCCTTTTTCAAAGAAGTTATAGTTATTGGGTCATCTGTAATGGCTCGACGAAGTACTACTCTAGTGTCAAAGGATGTGATCTGGACTCGCCCCAACCCATCAACTCAAGGATCTCTGTCTGTAGGAACAACACATCATGGGTGAAAATCATACCGAAGCAAACCATAGAAACCTTGTTCCTCTGTGTAACACAGTTATATAGACGAGGGCATCCCATTTGTTTAAATCTGTGAACTATGCTGGCACCTGGATATAATAACTATTAACAATATCGTCAACAAACATCAAACACGGCGGCTAAATGACAATGGCATAAAGATAGGGTGAAAAACAACTCTGCTGTATTTAACAGTGAGGCTCTTTATCAGCGCAGTAGCAAACAAATGATGATAACATGTAGATTAAGCATCAAACAAACAAAATGTGTTCAAGGGTGTGCTGATCAACATCATTGCACCGGATTTATGCCACACTGCTTAGTGCCTGATATTAGAACATATAAGAAACTGCCACACCTAACAATATCCACGAAAACAAAACAATCATCTATCAGTTTTATTAAAAAGGCAGCCATGAATATAAAACATTGACAATGAGAACCAGAGCATTAAACAAGATGCTTCCCCAAGGTTTGCTTCTTAGTTGAGCAATCTTAGCAACAACAACAACATTTGGTAATAAATCCCTGACTCTCAATGTGAGAGAGACTCTCTTGAAGTCAGCCACTGGTTACTTCCGTTATACTTAATGTGAACGAAGCATAATAAAACATATTGTGCTAGTTGGCGGGGGGGGGGGGGGGGGGGGGGGGGGGGGGGGGGGGGGGGGGGGGGGGAGCAAAGAAAAAGTTGCATGAGTACACAATGCCAATATGACGGCTCAGGTATAGGCAATTCAGAATTGCAGAACTGCAGCCTCCACTATTTTAACTCAATATTGTGAACTCAAACACCATGTAAGATGAGACGTAAAAGACATGCGGCAGAAAAAACAAGAAGCGACAAAGTCACCAATGAAGAACTAAGAACAATGGTCGTTACACTAGCAGTAAATGTTTTTATAGAATATCCAAGAATGAAATGGTTTGGTAATCCGGTCAGGAAGAAACAAATAAATCAGCAACTAGAGCGTACTACAGGAGAACAGCAGGCTACAAGGGAAGAGGCCAATCAGAAAAGAAACTGGCGGAGGAAGTAAAAGAGACGCTACAAAATCCGTTCCAATTTTAACTCTGTCTCGATGGGGATTTAAGCACACGACCACTGCTGGGTCAGCAGAAACACTAACCACTGCAACATTGTGGCTTCCATAGTGGGGCTGGGGGAGGGGGTGAATAATAAAATAACAATGATCATAAAATTTATATACATTTAACATACAATATTTATAAACATTTTACTTTACACAATCTTCTTTTTGCTATCACATGTAATTTTTAAATAATAATTTCACACAATCTTTCCCAGCTATAATATTTAGAATTATTTTTTACATTTCAGAAACAATTTTCCCTTAGGCCTTATAATCAGTCTTATGTTCATAGTTTTACAAACACATTACAATAACTTTACATCCCCTCCCCCCTCTTTTTTTCATCCTGACATTACATTTCTTATTTTTACATTTGTAATCATCTCCTACTGTATAAATATAATGTTTATTATCATCATAATCATTAAAAGCATAAAAGGAACAAGTATTCGTTGAACTTGCATATTCACAGGACCTTTACAAAAGTCAGATCCGTGATGTAGTATTTCACTGAAAGACAAAAAGATCAGAGGCACCAAACATTGTTAACGTCGTGGTACAGCGCCCTTACACATCTGGGCTGCAATGCAATATAAACAAGGCTTTCTTCTGGTGGTACGTAATGGTACACAGTACTAGCACTTTTGAAACATAATGTGTTTCGCGCGCTACTGTAACAGACACTTTATTGTGGGTACCAACATCTCCTTCAATCAAAAAAAATAAAACACCTGAACGTAAGTATGAATGAGTAAACTACAAAGGTTCATTGTCTGGTACATGCAGAGGGTAGAGGGAATTAAATAGTGTGATAGACTAGTGTTAAACTTAAGCTAGACAGTTCAAGTGGACCAAAAAAGGTGAGGAAAAGATGCTGACATTGGATAGGACACACGCTGAGAAAACCTGAAAACAATATAACTAGAATGTCTTTGCACTGGAACCCACAGAGGCATAGAAATAAAGGCACATGGAAAAACACCTGAAGAAGGGATATAGAGAGTGAAGGTAAAGAAATGGGGAGGATATTGGTTGAGTTGCATGCATTAGCGAAGGACTGAACAATGGTGTGAGCTAGATAACAGTCTATACTCCAATAGAGGATAGAAGACCAAAAAAGAAATATATATGTAGTTCTCAATCATTAAAAATAATGTTAAAATGTAGTTAAGTTAGTTGCGTATCCTTTACAAGACCTTGCAGAACCAACCCCAACATTTTTTGGCTGTTTGTAGTTCTACTAGTCAATTTTACATTCAGCAGTTGCTTTATAAAGTTTGAAGAACAGATCAACATCATGGCCCAAGGGTAGTACCCATAAGTGCTCCGTTCTTCTTCTGACTCAAGTCTGAGTCCGAAGAAGCTTAGCAAGGTGCACTTGCACTGTAGCACCAGCGAGGATCCTGATATTCTTTGGGTAGATTTTTTACTCACAAAAACTCCTAAAAATGTGGAGCTTCATAAACAAACATCCTTATTTAGTGAGGGCATTTATAAAGTTTGTCTATAAGCATAGTAGGCTAATACATGGAAATATACACACCGTAGATTTAGTACATGTGTGTCTTCATGTAGATTAGTGAATGAAAGCCATTGCAAGCACTCGGAGAACAAAACATTATAAAGAAGGCACGGTGAAATTAGATAAAACTGTAATCATTGTGGATTTCAGCTGCTCTGTGTAAGTACGATGGTCTTTTCTCTCAATTAAAAATCAATTAAAGAACATATTTGCACACATTGCGACTGCTTGCATATATTGCTATCTCCATACGTTTATATATTAATATTTAATGTTGGGTATCTAATGTAAGGTACATATAATTATAGATTAATACTGGCTATCTTGTGCTAGGCCTCTATGTTTATTAATTAATGTTGGGAATCTAACGTAAAGTATATATAATTATAGATTATTACTGGGCATCCTGTGTTAGGCCTCTATTTTTATAAATATTATGTACCGAGGAGCTGTCACTTCAAGAATCTTGTATGACTAGCAGATCCTCGATAATATGATTCTTTCTAAACTTTTTTTTATAGCATGCCTATCAGGTCTTCAACAGGGATTAATTTATTATTTACATAACATCAGATATTTTCCACTCTTTTGCTTGACCTTGTGTGGCACTCTCTAATTGTAGCCTGGACAGAACTGATAAACAAGACGTTTAGACTGTTCTGTCTTCTTGATAATACCTTTCTTGTAGTACTGTCGCACGGATCGGCTTAATTTGTCGTAATTCATGGCGGGACGATTCTTTCTGGCACCCCACAACATGGCAACTTTCTTGGAATCCTCAATCTTAAAGACTCCAGTTTTGCGGTCGAGCCAGCGGATGCAGTCACTGTAGTTGACGTCCTTGGAAAGCAGCAGTTCTTTCAGGAACTGCCACAGATGGATCGTTTGCTTATGGCCTCTACCAGTTGGAATTTTGTGTAAGATTTTACTGTAGCCGTTATCCTCGCGAAACCTGTCTAGTGTAGAGCTGTGTGCCATCTGGTAGCCTGGGGAAGACATTATACATTAAAATGACTATATTTAAAGATTTATAACAGTTCTGTTTTGTTTTGTTTCCTTTAATAGTAGGTCAAAGGTGGTGTTTGACTTTGTCTATCTTGTATCGGCATGGCGTTACGTCACTACAGACTCAGAAGGTTCTTGGGAAAGGAATTGACCTCTTGTGCCTTAGTATACCATGATCTAGACCTTTCAATTGGGGTCAGATTTTGGTCTGATATGATTCATAGCGTTACGCCAATACAGACTCAGAAGGTTCTAGAAGTTGCCTTGGGAAAGGAATTGACCAATTGTTCCTTAGTATACCATGATCTAGACCTATCACTTAGGGTCCGATTTTGGTCTGATATGATTGTTCTAACGTATAACCTACATTTTACAGCAAAAGCATCACATGGCATAGTCAACAAAATATGGATAAATGAAATGGTCCCAGTAGACTGGAAAAATGGTGTAATCATCCCACCACCGAAGAGAGGTGATCTCTCTCACTGCAACAACTGGAGAGGCATAACATGTTTGTCTGTACGCGGAAAGACACTCTGTAGGGTGATGATATACAACAGAATGAGACGTCAATAGACAGAGTTCTGTCAGAAGATCAGGCAGGATCCAGAAAAGAAAGAAACTGCTGTGATCATATTTTCACTCTGGGGAGGCCGATGTAGGAACCACACTGCATTGGCAAAGCAGTCTCTACGATGTTTGCCCAGCATTTGTCCTACATAAAGGAGGAGCTTCGTCCCTGTTATTAATTGGTATCTTCAGGAGATGTGATTCCCTAGCATCCCAGCACCACAAAGGAACACTGTTGTCTTTAAAGACGGAGTGCCAAGAAGAGACCTCTTACTGCATACAATCACAAATAACTTTTGACTAGAAACGATTGCCATCAGGTTCTTCCGGTTAAAATGGACGCTAGGCAGCGGCACTGTTCAAGGCAAAGGCAATTTTTTTGCTTCTGCCGGACGGTGGCCGATGCATTTTTGCTCCATTTGTAGACTGGATATAGTTTCGTCGCCCAGCTTCTGAGTTAAATGCATGGCGTGACACTGTGAGCTGCGGATTACATTGGGAATGTTTTTTGGACTGTGACCAACGTGGTGGTGTGAATTGTAGATTCAGAAAATAAATAGCGCGATGCCTGTCGTGCAATGTTGGCGGTGGCCGTATGTGATTAAAATTGATCGCGTGGACAACTGCTGATCTGTTGGCGACAAGTTCTGCTATCATCAATGATGAACTGCATTTCTAATGTTGGACTGTTTGTGTTAGCACTTCGGATGGCTACCGTATGCTTTAATGCGAGTGTATGCTAGGTATGCTGAGACAGCAGTCTGTTAATCTTTCCACAAGGGACTGTGATAAACATTCGTTTTTCGTTGGCACAGGAGCGGAGCAAAGATGGGGTGACCCATTTGCTATGAAGCTGAAACTAAGACTACCAGACTACCAGATTGCCATCAACATTAAAAGGCGGGCAACTTACCAGACCGGCTCTCATCATCGCTGATGTCTGAGTGTGTGGAGATGCTAGTGTTGCTGTCATGGTTACTGCTGCATGAACTCAGCGCCGGGGACACACATGTTGCCAGGTTGAAGTTCTGAGAGCTCCCAGTATGCATCGGTTGTGCTGGGAGGATTCCTTGTTCATTGCTGCCGGTAAAGTAGGTCTGGTTGGGGAAGCAGGTATTTGCTGGAGAGAACAAATATTTACATGCTCTGTATTTAAAGTCAACTAAAGGATACTTTCATTCCATTGGTACATGGGGCATGTGGTGTTAGACCTTGTGGGGAGTTTGAAGGCGCAAGGGGGAGGGAGGTGCGGGCTGCTGCCGATGTCATCAATGGGGAAAGGGGGGAGAGGGTGAAAATGGCCAACATGTGTGTTTTAAACAGTCAGACAGAGACAGAACTGTGGGTGGGTGGGTGGCTAGCTAGTTGTAACGACGGCACAGACAGAGAGACCCATGGACAGATAGACCCACAGACAGACAGACAGACACAGGCAGACAAATAGATAGATAGATTAGATTAGATTAGATAGATAGTGGCAGAAAGTTTTCTGCACCGGAAACCACCCGACCTTGCTAGGCTAGACCCATAGTTTTAAAGACCAATCGGCACTCGATGGTTAATGTGGTCAACATCTCGCCGGCCGAATTAACTTCCCAGGATTTTACCTGTAACCACTTTTAGGATGGGTCGATTCTGGAGCCAGTCATTTTTGAAAAAAAAAAAATCGACTCGGATTTGAAACCAGCACATTCTGTCGGCAGGCGGATCGTCTAGCCACTAACCTACAGCAAGTGCCCAACAGCAAACATGAAAGATGTAAAATCCTGTTTTAATTAACGTAATTTATGCACGCGTAGACATCACTTGCAGTTGATGGAAAATCTGGCTGCTTGAACAAACACAGGCCAGGTTGCGCTCAACAAAAGTGACGCTAATTTAAGATGGTCACATTCCACTGGAGGGCCAAATTGCAGAGATGGGGTCTTGAGATAACTTCAACAGGCGACCAATTTCAGAAATGTCGTATTAATGTTTGTCAATGTTTGTATGCATCAATAAATAAGTGAAAGTTTGTAAATGTTACTTAAACTAAACAAATAACGCTAAATTATCTCATCATCATCATTTAACAAGTGTGTGGTCGTTGTTCGTTATCTTTCACAATCATAAGGTTTTTAGGTCAGGTTTGAATTCATGTCTTGGTTAAGTTTAGTTTTCCTGATATTATGAAGAAAAAAAAATATAAATAAATAAAAATGTGCATAATTTTCATGCGCCTGCTTTCTCTAATCTATTTACAGTTTTCAGCTGTGTCCTAAATGTTGCGTACGTTTTTCTATCCGTCGCATTCTCTTGAGAATCGGAATTTCTGCTGCTGCTTTTTTGGTGGCTATTTACTCACAAATGTTGATTTCTTTTCTTGAGAATAATTAGGTTGCAAAGCAATGAAGGAGTGCTTTCTAAGGCGATTATTGTAAATACCTTCGAAAGAAAATAACAACGATACAGTTATAAAATGTGAGCACTTGACGCAACTGTGAGATGGAAGCAACATTCTTTGCTTACAGGATGAAAAAATATACTGGAACTAGAGGGACATAACGGCCTGTCTGATCTGTCAAACCAATGATAATTCAACGAAAAAGTTTAGTGTAAAGCATTTCCCCACTTCTTTGTTCTGATCCCCCATAATTTATAAATTCAGAATCAACTTGTACTTCAGAGAACCTACCTACCTCAGAGAAAAAAAAACCTGAGGGACAACGAGGTCGTTAAGACACCACCTCCCCGCGCCCCTTTTACCCCCTTTCCAACTACAAGCCACAGCCGACTTTGAATTAACGATAAGCCTGATATACCGATAAGTTGTTTGACTGTTATCGAAATGTTTCAGATCCATTTACTAATCGTTTTACTACCGTAGTCCCTGCTATAAACACACCACCAATTCTGTCGAGCATTACTTTAGAACAGGGATTCCTAAACTGTACTGAGTCAGTCGCTTTGGGGGGGGGGGGGTGAAAATGGATGGAGGGTTATCGCGTTTAACCAGCGTTTAAATTAACAGAAGTCGGTTATTACTGAGATCTGTGTATGATTATTCCTCGCTGTGTTGGTGCATAAATAGTTCCTGTTGTGTATCTTGTTGTTTACCTTCCAGTTGATTTTTCTGCTTAGTGATACTGCTGCCCTATTTCAAACTGAGTGCTTCTTGCTCATGTCGATCGCCTGTGTCAAAGCAGGATCCCACAGTCGGTCACATAGTGTGAATTAAATTCGTTCCAATTGAGAACTAGATCTGACCAGGACACATTGGGCAGGGTACTCTCCCTGATCAAGCTACACTCTCGCCGTCTCGGGTGCCGACGCGGCAATGTGAATGTGAACTTATGCCAGATACAGGGAAAAACTGACAGTCCAGTTATTCAAAAAACTTCCAGATGATTTTAGAAGTAGAATAAAAAAATAATAAATAAAAGCTAGTGGCGAAGAAAAATAATATAAGTCGACAAAACCGTTCTACAATTAATTTTTTTTGGAAAAGTGGATATGATGGAATGCTGCGAAGCATGTACTGGTGCAGCAGAAACAAGGCTCATACAGGTCAAGTCCAGTCTGCCTCTCTCCGTAGGTCCTAGAAACAGTTCTCAACCAGATATCTTCTATATGTAGATAGAACTGACCAAGTCTGAGTAATAAACAGTCTGCATAAAAATATATGTAAAACGGATATGCATGCAAAACCCAAGTCCTGCAATTGGACCAGAGTCCAGAAGTGCACGAACAGTCAGGAATGTTTGCTCAGTGTACAGTCGGTGATCGCGCCGAAAAGGAAGAATTGAATGCAATGAATAATATTTGTATTACATCTTTATTATCGGTGAAATATAAATCACGTTTAACTAGATTCCTAACATCCACTCTTTTATGCTTCCTAAGTTAAGCGGGTTATTGCTTTATCTTTCCAATATTCTGTGCTGAGAATTTGATGCTAAGGTTAGTTGCCTATCCTTTACAGGACGTTGCAGAACCAACCCCAACAGCCCCTGGCTGTTGTGTGGTTTTTCTAGGCAAATTTACGTCCAGTAGTTTGTCATTGCTTACTGGACGGTCGGCTTTCTCGATACCACTGTTGAAACCAACGCAAAGCACATGGTCTACAGCTGGAATCGAATCCGGCATCTTGGCATTACGAAGCGTTCGCATCGACTTAGCCACAGAGCCGACTTGATGCTAAGAGTTATGTTTAATTTGTTTCCACACATTTCTAAGTGGTAGAAATTTGAGGCAGAGCGAACAAATTTACAATGTATATTGGGGCTTCCTGAAAATAGTTTGAGAATCGTCGGGTTTATGACTTCTCGATTGTTTTGACGGAAGAATAAGCTACGACTGATATGAGCTACTGAACTTCGCGAAAGTCAGTATTGACATTTTCGCTGTATTCCGAAGAAATGTAGATTACAAATCGGCTCGGTGGGGGGGGGGGGGGGGGATATGCCGTCGCTATGATACGTTCAGGTCAGGTATACTCGTACAAGACAATGCATCTGATAGTCGGGGTCCAATGACACTGAACTACCCTGGGAAAGCTAGTCCAGACAACAAATTCCTGCAGAAGTCGGATGTGTCTGCTGATAAGCGCAAACATCTTACAGCCGTGGTTTGTCAACAGCCACAACGCACTAGGTCTTCGCATGAACGCAGAAAAAAAAACAGGATTGCTTGGTGACCCGTTTTGTGGTGCCCCAATACATTTCTGTGACGGAGTTACCCGGATGTGTAAATTTTCGAATCCTGGAAAGAAAAGGGGTGGGGAAAAAAGGGGGCGGGGTATGGTGGGAGGGCTTTTTTGAAAGTGGGACACTAAACAGGATTCACGCTTATCCGGTTCAGTAGCTAGAAAATACATTATCAACATTAATTTAATATATAATAGATTGTTCAGCTCTCCTTTGAATCGTTCCACTTTAATATGATGGCGTTCGAAAGAGAGCTAAATTGGCCAATTTCTGCCCATAAAATATCCAAAAATATCCGAATGCGGGTCAGTTCTATTAAAAATATATGTGCCGGCTCCGGGTAACGAAACAAATGCTCTGACAGGGTCTCGGCGATACGTTGCTTGCCGACCTGCTTCTGCGAGTGTGCCGCGGCGCGGATGGGGGCTAAACTAGAGGCTGGGACTCACGAGCGGCAGCTACCGCATCTCCTGCAACTTCCTCCAATTACTGTACTCGTGAGTCCCAGGCACCTAGTTTAGCCCCCTAGTTTAGTGGGGGATACGCTCGACGATGAGTTTAATCGCGTTTGGCGCATGCCGACAAGTCTGACATCTTCCGCTGCTAAATCCTCCAATCGGAAGAACACAGTATTGCTAATCGGCTTTCATCGTCTGTAATGTCTCGAAATTGGTCAACGGTCGCTAATATCGTCTGCTAGTATCGTCTGCAGAAACGCTCGAAATTGTTGTCAACTGTCGGTATTTATCGTCTGCTACAACTACCGTGGGCAAATGTTGATATTGATTGTCACGTAATCCTAGTTTTGCCGCGATTTGTTCCTTGGCAGAAAGTCCGTATTTTATATATACGCGAACACCGTCGTTCGGATATTTTTGGATATTTTATGGCCAGAATGTGGCATGCCGCCATTTTGGGGAATGATTCATAGGAGAGTCGATTTTTCTGTGTGGTTTCCGGAGCTACCACTGGGGAGAAAACAAAAACAGACCTACTACTACCGCAACAAGCATGCCGTAAGAGTCAACTATTCGGGCTATCCTTCGAAGTCGGAGTGCATCAGTCTGAAAGGCAGGAACCAACGATGGGCGTGCACATAAGTCAGATCTGTAAAAATGGACGCGCACGCAAAACTCCGGTTCTGAAACAAGACTAAAGTCCAGAGGTGGACGAACAACCAGAACTTTCCAGCAGAGACTACAGCCGGTGATCGCAAAGAAGAAGAAGATATACTACGAGACTGTAAAAAAATCATAATATTTATAAGTAATCGACAGCTTTCAGTATTTCCAGAAGATAGTGTTATATTATTAAAGGAGGAGGCATGGGACTCATAACGTTTGACAATAGGGAGTGTGACTAGCAAGACCCATAGCACAAAGTCTGGACAGTATTGTAGAGACCATATCTTGCCGATTCATCATGATCTCTCTCTCTCTCTCTTTCTCTCTTTCTCTGTCTCTCTCTCTCTCTCTCTCTCTCTCTCTCTCTCTCTCTCTCTCTCTCTCTCTCGCTCTCGCTCTCCCCCTCTCTCTCTCTTCCTCTCTCTCTCTTTCTCGCTCTTCCTCTCTCTCTCTCTATCTGTCTGTCTCTCTCTCTCTCTCTCTCTCTCTCTCTCTCTCTCTCTCTCGGCATGCCTTGTTTGCTCCAAAGGAAAGGTAGCACCAGTACGTTTGGAAAAAAGCAGACTTCAGAAGCTGTCGGATCAGAAGAGTAGTGCTCTATCTGTCCGCCTGTCGGAGCATCCTCTTATGCCACACTCTATAAAAGCAGCTGATAATGAAGAATGATGATTCTTGCAATCTTAAAATGTAATTGTTCGCCCTTAAAAAAACGGTCTCCGTCATCATTAACACTATTTTTAACATCATGATCGACAGAGAAACTGGCTTCCCGTAAACATGTGAGTTATACATTTAGATAAGAGAAAGAGATAGAACATTTAAAGGAATCTATAACTGTCTTCTTTTACCCCGCCAGGACATCACACAAGCGATAAATACCCGATGACACAAAGTGCCACCATGCGGATGATGATCACCCGTGGAGAAGTCCCAGAAACCGCATTCAGCCGTTAGACCATATTTATGGCCAGGCTATATTGCGGCCCCTGACAAGAGCCAGGGTGGGGCTTCAAATGACGAAAAATTGCATCTTAATTAGGGATGACTAGATGGTAATTTAAAGGGATTTGAAGTGTCTGTTTAACTACCAGTGCGTTTACCTGCTTTCCACAGCTCCAGTTCATTGGAGAGTTTGATGCCCGAGTCACCACACAGGAAATAGAAGTATTCTTGAGATAAGGAGCACAGCGTGGGACCATCAGAGTTAGACAAGTGCGCCGAGACATCGGGAACTCCATTCCTGTGACACACCCAGGAGACCCACCTCCTCGCGTGGTCTGGGGTCCACATCATGGGGTCTGCAAAAAAGAATTGTTGCGATTAATGAGGCAGATTGCTAATTAAGCCCTGCAGTTATTTACAAACACAATGTAGCCTCCAAGATGCGCTTTAAAGATGCGGGACATGAATGATACAGGTACTGAGACAGATTTGTGGGAACAAAATGCCATGGACCGTGCTTCGTGGAAAAGTGAGGGAGAAGGCGAAAATAGGGGAGGCAATGGGAGTAAAGCAGAAACAAATGATTGCAGAAACGTTGAGAGCGGAGAGTCTGACAAGAAACACACTTAACATCTGTGATGGCAAAAACGGTTCTGAAATCCAAGCTTTATTTTGTTTGCACCCTTCCCTCTTTCCAGACGATGGTGGGGGTTTATTTTTTTTCCTTATTGGGAGGCGTGGGACTCACATCCCATGGCAATGGCGAGTACAGCTAGCAATACCAGACCAAGTTAAGAAAAGTCTTTCACCACAACAGTATTGAATTGTAGGACTGTTGTTGCTATCCCATGTTTATGACCTGGGTTTTTTTTTCCCTCAAAGGCTCAGCACCATCCTTTCTGCAATCATCTTTTACTTTATTCCTATTCCCTTTCTGATTGTAACTCTCCATTCAACGTGGCATTTTGGTCCGAAGTGTCTACCTCAATACCTGTATCATTCATGTCCCGCTTGCGCTCATTTTGAAATCGTACTAGAGGTCGGCATCAACATCTTCTGCCCATCTGTGATTCACAAGAGAGGATGTCCTTCCATCCTCCATATTCTAAGTGTGACCCAGCCATCTGAGCCTTCCAAGACTCAGATATCAAGCTGTTATGTTACTTACCATTTCCAATACCTCAGTGTTTGTGATCATATCCTGCCACTTATCCAAGTATTCTTCATAGGCATCGCATGTGAAAGGAATTTTAGCCGTTTCTCCCGATGCGTTTTACCCGATTACCATGATGTTGACTCGTTAAATAAACCAAAAACCATAAACCAGTCTTGATGCGAAAAAAGGCGATCAAGTTTCACTGTCATAAAGCAGAGTGCTTAGAACACAAGGGTGATAGACAAGAGTTTTTGTTTTAATAGTGAGCTGATTAACAAAGCCCTGTTAAACAAATCACAGATGCAACAGAACTTACCATATGGAACTTTCAAACTGTTGCAGTCTTTGTAGATTGTATCCATCATTAGAATGGCGGCTTCTTCCAATCTCTTGGTCTCCTCGAAAACAATTCCTGACTTATTCTGTTCTGGCATTGACTGGTATTCGTTATACATAGATTCTTGTTGACTGTCGAGGTCGATGTACTGTGGGTTGGCTTCTGGGGAGCAAAGTCCTCTCAGCGAAGCATCAGTGTCGGTAAGAATGTCAAAGTTGGGCATGCAACTGTTACTGCTGCTTTCAGTTTCGGAGATGAGAGTGTTAATTTGTGGCGGCAAAGTGGACCTGGTTACAGATGTGAATGTGGAAGTATTCATCGCAGCTGTCGTTTGGGCTGATGATGGCTGGAATGTTAAGAATGAAGGCGGTGTTGACGATGTCACCAAGGAGGTGTTAGAAACGAACTGATGATCAACGTTGTGCTGATGAGGCTTGTAGTTATCACTGGAGTAATAATTACTGCTGCAGTGGTGGGATTTGACGAGTCCAAAACCTGTACTGTTGCTGCTGCTGCTGTTGCTGCTGCTGCTGCTGTTACTACTGTCGCTGCTGCTAATGCTGTCTGTCATTGACTGGAAGAAGGGGTAGTTTTGACCGTCGAAATATTCAAAGTTTATTTGTGGTTTAATATCTGTTTCTTGTGGCTGTAATCGGGATTGCGAAAGCTACGGAGATAATGTTATAAAAATAGGTGTCAAGTCAAGTCAGGAAAATTTACAGTTAAAGTAGAGCGTATCCACTTTATTGGACCGGGTTTGATCCCACATGGTTTGGTCTCTCTCCGCAAAACAGCGGCTGAGTAAGGAATAGTAGAGATCCCTCTCCACGCCCTCGGACGTATTGAGCAGTTGGCTTAAACAGATCTGTTTTATTAAGTCCAATCTCCACCTGGTGGGTCATGTGATCAACATCACGCCAGTCACCTTTACTTCCCAGGACTTTAGATGGTAACACTTCAAGGTTGTCTCTAGCGGGAGGTCAAAGTCATTTCTGAAAAACATGCCGGATTCACCAGGATCTGAACGCACGACCCTCGGATGCGCAGGCGAGCGTCTAGCGGCTAAACAACGGCGGCTCGTAAGTAAGGAAGAGTTCAAGAAAGTAAATGACCAACTGGGCACTTTTATAGACCAGTCGGTGCTCCACGAGGGATGTAGTCGACACGACACTGACCGCCTTGACTTCCCCTGACAATTGCTTCTGCTCATTTTTTGCCGACTCAACTCGTTTGCCGATCTTTGCTGTATCATTCTGTTTATGGGTACACTTATTTTTGTGTATCCCTGAAGAGCCTCACTGGTGTCAGTGCCTTATGCGAGATCTATTCGTGAGAGACGGAGAGAGAGAGAGAGAGAGAGAGAGAGAGAGAGAGAGAGAGAGAGAGAGAGAGAGAGAGAGCGAGAGCGAGAGAGAGAGATATCCAAATGAGAAAGCACTCGATGATCTCACTTTCATCTCAGGTTTAATCAAAATAACCAGAAAACTGAAGAAGCAGAAACCGTCTCTTTGTAATGTCTTTGCCTGCTGCTTTTTTGAATAAGCAGACAACTAGACACTTGAAATACTGTAAGGTTCCCCCGGGACACAGCCGGTGCCTATCGCCTTCAGATCAAGTGAGTATCTGGTGTGTACCAGTCACAGCATTGTGCCGATATCCCTGGCAAATGTGCACCGTACTGGTGCGAAACAGGGCGCCCATCTATCAAACCCTTTGACCTTATACAAACTTGACTTACTAGACAAAGTCAACCCGACATGCTTTGATCAGGCAGAGGTGTCACTGCGATCAGAAGCTGGGTAATACAGCTGGGCGAAAGAGAAACAATGGGGTATAAATTATAAAAAGAGAATTTGACGCTTCTTTGAGAAGGTAAACTTTTGTTGTCAGTGGAATTAGACAGTGTCATATTTGTAATGATCACTAGCTGGGATAGCCCGGTGACCTGCATTACGGCCTACCGGTCTGCTTGTTATATCACTTATCTTCTTCTGCTTGTTCTTCTTGTTCTTGTTCCTGTTCTTCTTGTTCTTGTTCTTCTTCTCCTCCTCATCCTCCTTCTTTTTCTGCTTCTTCTTCACTCGCCCTCAAAGGGGTAGTTGGCACACTGTGTTGTGATTGACAGCAAGGCTGTGATATCTGGCCCGCTGGGCCACACCAAAGATTTGAGCAAACCCCTAACTATAAATTTACAAAGTGCCTGTTAGAGGGCAGATGGTCTATTCTTTGTCTCCTCCTCCCCCCCCCCTCCCGCCCACCACCCCTCAAGAACAACAAAGCCAAGCAACTCACACGGGAATGTCACGTACTGAATTTGTTTTTCATTCAAAGCGTTTTTTTTTTTTAATTTGACCCAGGCTTTTGGGTTGATCCAACCTAAAATGGGTTCCAAGAAATGTTTAGAGGATTAAAGGTGTTGAGAAGGAAAGCTGATGTATCTTGTATATATTGGGCTAGCCGGATAGCCTGTAGCTAATATATTCTGAGGGAAAATCAATTATCGTATACGTTCTCCATAATTGACAACAACGTGACTCTTTTCGTTGACATTTTCAGGACAATCTCGGGTAAGACTTTTTGTGTTGTCATAACATACGTAATTAGATATACTTTGTATCGTGAGATAAGCAATTATACTCACTTTTTTGCATCATAAGATAAGCAATACTTAACATACTGTTTTACAAACTAGGATAGGAAACTGCTCACAATTCAATTCTTACTATAAGATAAGCAACCCTTAAATATTTATATCCTAAGATTAGTGCCACTAAACCAAAAGATATTGATAGTAACACACTTGGTGAATAACAACTGCCAGTTTCGGCAATCATGGCGTTTAGCCAAACATGACAACTTGTATTGACTGAAGCGTTCAAATGAAAACTCGCATCTCAGGAGACTCTAGTGCATTTCAGAGCGGACTTCTTTAAAATAAATTCACGCAAGCAAGCCAGAAAGAATTCTAAAATTGTTTTAGCTTGTGAACTTTCTATCCCGGCATTCAAGCAGGAAAGTAAGTATGTAGTTTTCTACATGTAAGACCAAGTTGTGTCGTAAACTAACAGTTAACAGAAAGGAAAAGTAGGACTAGGTTTTGACATAATGATTTAGGGCCGCGTTGATAGTGCAGTCGCCATAGACCCGGGCTATTCAACTAGTGGCCCGCGGGTCGAATCTCCCCAGCAGCCATCACCAGGTACTGGAGTACCAGTTCAGGTCTCTCGTTTTCGTGCAATTAACACTTCTTAGCCAACATACTTGCACAAAGAAACCAGACCACATTTATAGCCGATACTGCTAGCAGAAGATTGAAAGAGATAGATTTTTTCCTTATAAATGGATGGACGATAGCCATCGTTTCTCTATTACAGAGGTACTGATGTGTTTAATAGCCTCTTGTGTTTCTTTATTAGAGTGGACAGCTGTGTTGTTTTTTTTTGCCTTTTGTGTTTCTCTGTTAGAGTGGGCAGCTGTGTTTTATCGCTTTTTGTTTTTCTTTATCAGAGTGGACAGCTGTGTTTTATCGCCTTTTTTGTTTCTCTATTAGAGTGGACAGCTGTGTTTTATAGCATTTTGTGTTTCTCTATTAGAGTGGACAGCTGTGTTTTATCGCCTCTTGTGTTTCTCTATTAGAGTGGACAGCTGTGTTTTAATGCCTTTTGTGTTTCTCTATTAGAGTGGACGGCTGTTTTTGATAGCCTATTGTGTTTCTCTATTAGAGTAGACAGCTGTGTTTTATCGTTTCTTGTGTTTCTCTATTAAAGTGGACGGCTGTTTTTGATCGCCTTTTGTGTTTCTCTATTAGAGTGCACAGCTGTGTTTTATCGCCTCTTGTGTTTCTCTTAGCTGGCCTCTGTGACGTAGGCGTTGTGAATGCCCTTTTAATTCCGAAGTACTGGGTCAAATACTGGCTACGGATGATTTGACAACAGATCGCTTGCGTTGATTTCGACAGGGGGCAAGAGTCGACCCTTCCTTGAGCAATGGCAAACTACTGAAGGTAAAATTTGCTAGTAAAATCAAAACAAAACAGATGATGTGATTCGTTTAGCTCTGGCAACGACCTGTGAAGATTCACAACCTTTTTTTTTTTATCCCCAGTCTGGTGTTATTACCCTGTGTTACTAGAACCCTTAAAGAAAGTAGAGAACGGAAATGCTGTAATCTGCCATGCATGCCGTAAGAGGCGATAAATAAAGGTTGGTGTGGGACTGGCTTTCTAATCCTTTAGACTTTATAACAAGAAAGAACTTCTGTAAATTCTAATCAAAACGTATACACAAGGTTTAGCGTGGGTTGGTTGTGAACTTGTATAAACACACGAGAGGTAAAACCAGAGAAGAATATCTGATATAACGAATTTGCATGCTTATATACTTGTACAAAACAACCTGCTTCATACCTGTTGATCCAAGTCATCGAGAAGATAGTCGGGTCCCTCATCCAGATCTCTAGCCATGGTTTTGTATTCTTCAATAACCCTGAACCCTGAAACAACAAGAGGTGATTGTAAAATCTCGGAGAGAGTATTTACAAACTAGTCTACAGAAAGATCGTCATTGTTGTTCATCAGTGTTTAACTTCTGCCTCAGAAGGTTGATAGACAACAACTGCCTTTTAACACGAGCAGATCCCTCCTGTCACGGGGAAGGTTGAGAGACAACAACTGTCTTCTAACACGAGCTTATTCCTCCCAGTCACGGGGAAGGTTGAGAGACAACAACTGTCTACTAACACGAGCTTATTCCTCCTGTCACGGGGAAGTTTGAAAGACAACAACTGTCTTCTAACACGAGCTTATTCCTCCCAGTCACGGGGAAGGTTGAGAGACAACAACTGTCTTCTAACACGACCTTATTCCTCCAGTCACGGGGAAGGTTGAGAGACAACAACTGTCTTCTAACATAAGCAGATTCCTACCAGTTACCCATGTGCCCACATTGGTGGAGTTTAGCTGTTGTCGGATATATTACTAACTGTGTAGGCAGTGGTAGTAGTTTTAGTGGTAGGAGAAGTAGTACATGTAGTATCAGCAGCTGCAGTTGTAGCAGTGGCAGTATTGGACAACAGTATCAGTAGTTGTAATAGCAATAATACTCGCAGTAGTTTCACAATCTGGACGTTGGGCAGAGGAAGTAAAAGTGGCAACTGGAATTAAAGGGGTAAAATGACACCTAGGGTAAAGATAATGCGAGTAACAACTGAATTAAAAGTCATCATTTTGATTAGTTTGTTTATTTTGATGGGCTTAGATAAATTAGTAAATCAGTAATGGCAAATGTTTTTCTGTTGACTTGCTGCTTGAGTCGTTAAGGGTCGCAAAGAGGGTTAGATGTAGGTTCCCGTTTTTTGTTTTTGCTAGTCGCAAAGCTTGTGTTTAAGTCATTGCGTTTCCGTAGTGTCTCATTTACTCCCTCCACCCATTTCTTTCTTGGTCGACCTCTTGACCTGTAGCCCGCTGTTATCCTGTAGTATGTTTCTGCTGTTCGCTGATTTTGTTCCATTCCGACCAGATGACCAAACCATTCGATTCTTTGATTTTCTATGAAAGGATCCATCAGCACTGTTCATATCTTTGTTCTTAGTTCTTCATTGGTGTCTGCTCCTCTGGTTTTGTCAGCCCCATTTCTTACTGCTCGTCTCCCATGTAGTAATTTTGCATTTATGTTTTTTGCTGGGATTGTCCATGGCTGGCATTTATAGCACAAAGTTGGTACAAACAGAGCATTTGTCAGCTACTTTGGCAGCTGTTGCAGGGGTCTAAATTAAAAAAGCTACGAATGCTAAAGCTTGCTGCTCTTGCTGACCAAGATTACGGTAGGGTTTCAATCCCTAGAAAAGTAGATGTGGTGAACGCTGGCAGGGACCAGGTGAACAGTGCATCAGAACATATGAGTATATGTATATATGTATATGTGTGTGCATACATGTGTGTGTGTGTAAAGAGAGAGTGAGAGAGAGAGAAAGAGAGAGAGAGAGAGAGAGAGAGAGAGAGAGAGAGAGAGACGACGAGAGAGAGAGAGAGAGAGAGAGAGAGAGAGAAAAAGAGAGAGAGAGATTGTTTCTAAAAACTGATTCAGCTGGGAATGAGCAAAGACGAAGAGAACAAATACACGTGACCTCTTAGTCGGGTTACCACAGGCAGCATCAGTATGAGGACTTCTTTGGCTGCTGAAGAAGGGGATAGGGCACTTATGGGAATGACCGAGTGTAATGATGTCAATTCTTGATGCATTCAGTCACTAGCAATAGCTGCATTCCCTTAACCGACTAGTACCCCACTGGGGTCGACCCAGTCTATTTAAACTAATAGTGGATCATTTTCACACCTTTCTGGGGAAGTAAAGGCGGCGAAGGAGAGAGATGGCCACCCAGCGCATTATGCATTGTCCTAGATTATTCAAGTCCTAGCATTCGAACACCAAATTGTGGGTCTACGACTTTGGGCTGCGTTTCCAGTACAGATTTTTTTTTTTTTAAATCGAACAACCTTGTGAGTAGATAATGTATGTTCTTGTAAGTAGATAATGCATGTTCTTGTGAGTAGATGATGTATGTTCTTGTGAGTAGATGATGTATGTTCTTGTGAGTAGATGATGTATGTTCTTGTGAGTAGATAATGTATGTTATTGTGAGTAGATAATGTATGTTCTTGTGAGTAGATAATGTATGTTCTTGTGAGATCCTTAAAAAAAGTGCCATCTCCGCATTGTAGGTGGACTCTGAGTTCCCTCGCAGGCTTTTATTTGCATCTTCACAATGTTTTTAAACAGGTTGTTCTCATTCTGTCCTATATTGCTGGCCTAGTATTACTTTGTGAGACAGACATTTGCAATAATAATAATTATTAAAATAATAAACTTACCAGCCAGCAT